CCTCTTAATAAATGCTGTTTTTCTGTGTTCAAAATGAAGCTTTGAAAATTTGCTTGTGCCTTGATGGTGAATATTTACCTAAATTCTAGATGATTGTTATATTTAGACATTGAAGTATGAAATGCCAATAAATAAAAATAGTGCTTTAGTAAACTGTAACAATGTATACAGGAAGTAAACAAAGTAGGTTCCTAATACTTTTTCAGGTAATCTGTATGTATTCAATAACAGTTTCAAAATTTCTAGCCCTTGGTGCCAAGTTTTGTTGCCATCATAGCTGTGGTGTGGGTGGAAGAGCCCAACCAGAAATGAGCAGATCTAACTGTAAGCTACTTTGCATGTTGTCAGTTGACTATAAATTGCAGCAGTCATTGACTCAGCGGAACAAGCAACACAATTCAGGTAAGAGACTTGCATGTTGCTGTATCTAGCCAAGATCTTCACTGAATATCAGTTTTTGAAAATCACTTCTACCAGCCATTCACTAACAATGCTTCCATAGCTCTTTAATGAATCCTGTTTAATACGATCTCTTATTTAATAAGGTGTAAGAAAAATGGAACATTAATTTCTTTTTTTTTAAATATCATTCAGATATTTTCAGGTATTCATCACTCTTAAAATAGCACGTCTTGTTTCCTTGGATTTTACTTCCATCTGAAGATTGGTGAGTCTCTGGTCTAAGAGGAAAATGTTCCTAACACTTGAATTTTGCACTTTGTGCTGGTAGTAAGGCAGCAGGTAACTGTTTTATGTAACGCTGTTGTCCAGCAGAAGTGTCAGTACTAAGCAACAAATACTGCAAGTATCTCTTCTTGAGGAGTTGTGTTGGTTTTGATTTCTTGCTCTGTAATGATGTTTTGCTGTAAGTTTTTATTTTGCTATGTAGCAGACTTTTTCCTCAGACAGTGTTTTTAAGTTGTTAGCAGTAGAAAGTTTTTAGACAATAACCTGTGTAAGTAGAAAAAGGAAAGATGACTGGCTATTGTTTTGATTTTACGATGAGTGTATATTCACCTCTTGATTTTTTTACATGCATACTAATATGAAATGGATGTGTGTTCATGCTTTCAACCTACCTACAGAAGTACCTGTTTAAGATGCATGTGACTTTCACTCATGTCTAACAGCACACTATAAGTGAATTCTTAATTCATTGGATTTCTGTCGTGAAATCTATGTGCACCAGAAAAAGAGACAACACTGAGTTCAGAGGCATTTTCATAGAATATGTTGAGAGGACAGGTCCACACTGAGTAAAAAATTCTCTCTGTATAAACATGGCAGGTATGAAGTCATTAGAAAACATTACAATATCCCCATATCCTTGTGAAGGATTCAGGGGATCCCATTTATGTTATGGAGCTGTGATTGGAGCATTTGAAGCTTTGTAAGATTTCTGTGAGTATGGAATCTAGATGTGTTTAGTAACCTAGCTAAATGTTCAGGTGTGGATTCCATTTTAGAGGATGTAATATAACTTAAGTGCTTTAGACAGCAATGTACAGATGTGCAAGTGGATGGTGAGTAAGAACATTTTTGGATAAATTCTGTGTAGGCAAGTATTGCCTTCAAGCTGTAAGGATGGCTCACAGTAATTCTTTAAAAATTAACTAGTAATTTCAAGTGTATTTTAAGTAGCTATTAGGAGACAGTCATTACATTATCAGCACCTATGCTGATATTTAGCTGTTTGAATAATGATATTGAGAAGACACTATAATGTAGCTTCCTATAAACCCTTGCAAGATTATCTTTGTAATAAATCTGTAAGGGTGATTTAAATAGTTACACCTGCTGTAATGCTGCTCTGAAGAGAGGATATGGGGTTTTAGTAGGCCAGTCTGAGTCAGAGCAGTGCCCTAACAACTGTCTGCAGTCCTTTCTTAGTATTACTAAGACATATATTTTTTCCTTTAATATTGATTATTTTTATTTATTTAGTCCTCTATCAATAGGATTGTATTTAGTATTTCATATCTGTGTTTAATCTGCAGGTGAGTGCAGGAGGAGCATGAGGACCCAAGGAGATGTTAGGCTTAGCAGAAATTCTCTCTTCTTTCTAAATTCTCTAAACTTCTTTTAAACCTTTTTATGTTGAGTGGATGTAGTACCTGACAGACATGAAACTAAGATTGGGATAGCACAAGCTTTCCATCTATTTAAGATAGTGTGGTGAATGAGACATCAAGTGAACAGAGAGAAAAAATGATTTGTCTTTGAAGGCTTTTTGGTATGAATAAGGAGTCTTTTACTGCAATTGTAGATTTAATTTTTTTCAGGAGGAGAAGGGGGTGGAGAGAATGTCTCTGATGTTGGCCTGCTTTGTTTATTGTCTACAGACATGTAAGTTTTGGTGGATTTGGAGCAAGCTAGACTCATGTGGAGTACGTAGATTCTCTTAATTTCTAAATCTGAGGTGAAAGGAGACTGCTTGCTCTTTCCTGTTGTGAATTATTTTAATCAGTGTTGTTGACTTACACTTTCTGTTTTTTTAAATGGCAAATTGTTTGCTCTATCTGATGATCTTCTAACACCTTTCTGAAATGTCACAAATGCATTCAAAATCTCTTCTGGAAAATGCCAGTGAGGCCAAGTGCTGGTGGGTCTGCATGAGGTGTTTTTATTACTGTTCAGTAAGAGTGGTTTAAACTATTATGTAACTGTGTGTTTACAGGTTAAATGCAGAACCTGATGGATGGCAAAAGCTACTGTAACCTCATCTGTACTGAGACCCAGTGCATACAACTGGCCCGGCCTTTCTGTGCCGACCCACTGGTCACATTCCACGTGCACCCAGAAACACCAAACCAGGTCACTTGCTGTGAGGATTTGTCATTCCTTCCTTTCATGTCTGAGCATCTCATCACCGAGAACTTCTGCAGTGAGCCCTGTACCTTTCCCTACCAAATGCCCCATTCCAATTTCCACAGAAGCGAGTACTCCTACGGGCCAGCTTTCATCAGGAAGAGGAATGAGAGGGAAAGGCAGCGGGTTAAGTGTGTCAATGAAGGCTATGCTAAGCTGAGGCATCACCTGCCAAAGGAATACTTGGAGAAACGGCTCAGCAAGGTAGAGACACTCCGTGCTGCAATAAAATACATTAGGTACCTGCAGTCTGTTCTGTACAGTGATTCTGTGGTGGCAGGAAAAAACGTCATGGAGCCAAGCCAAGCTCCTAAAGCAATTAACAAACAGAACCAGTTTTTGCAGGCGATCTAAAGTGTTGCAAACCAAGCAAAAGGTACCGCGTCTGGGAGCGTAGTAGCCACTCCATTAATGACGTGAGTGTTCCTGGCACATCTTGGGAGCAGCTCGGAGCACACGTCAGTGTCAGCCCACACAGGAGCTTTAGTTTTGCAGATAGTAACTAAGCTTAGATACGAAAAAGACCACTGGGAAAATCTGAGCTGAATGACCTAAGTTAATTCATGAAAATCAGGAAGCGTTTCTAAATTTGTCACCAAGCTAAAAATGTAGCACCTATACGTGTGAAGTAACTGTATGTATCATCACAATCTGCATGCTTTAAAATAAAATCTTTCTACTGATGGGACTGAGATTCTTCTCATTTTTTCTAATGTTACTGATTTACTCTCACATACACTTTATTAAAAGATTCATGATTGCCAATGCTTCTCTTAAAAGACCCTTTTAAAGGTTCCAAGGAGTGTTGTTAGATGCCAACAGAAAGAATAACTTAGTTTAAAAGGGAGAAATAGAGTAAGGTAGCAGCTTTCTGCAGCACAATTACTGAACATAGGAAGATCATTAAGTTTTGCATGTGCTGTTTCATTGTTTTCTTATTAATGAATATTTTAATCACATTGAAAACTATTGACTTAGCCTAATTTTGGTTGAAAATTGGATTCTTATTTGGATATCACTGCCCTTAAAAATTACTAGATAAAGAACAATACACTACATAAAGAAGGCTGGGAAGGTCTTGGCTATGGGGGAAAAAACAATCCTACAACAGAAATTTTTCGGGACTTTGACTGATAATGGTTGAGGTCTGGGGTGGTCTCCCCCAGCCTCCCAGTCTGTTCCTCTGTACTACTGATGGTTTCAGTCAGCTGTTGTGGAATAGATTTGTGTGAAGATGATGAAGAGTTTAGCTCACAACTGGTAAAAGTGTTCTTAACATTTGCTCTGCATAAGGGGATGGTATTATTGATACTGAGCAATTCTGCTGGCAGCAGGAGAGCATGTAGCATGCACAGCAGAATGCACAAAAAAATGGTTACAGACTTCTTAAGTGATGTATCCTTGTCTCTAATTGCAGTCATCCCCCTGTTACATTGTTTTTATAGCAGTGAATTGGAAAATGCCTGCAAAAGGCAATTAAGCATTCCAAACACACACCCTCCAAAAAAACCCACAACCACAAAACCAAACAAATGAGAAATCAAACCCCAGTTGTTAACTCTGTTTTAAGGAGGAAATAAAGATTAGGGATCACAGCAGAGGTTAACAGGTGGATTTCTGCTTTATATTCTGTCATGTTTTTGGTAGACAAGTTGTGGGAAAGGGGTAGAATTTGTAATCCTTCCCCCTTAGTGCAAAAGGAGAAAGTTGTAAAGCGATTTGACTTTGGTTTACCTCAGCTTCAACGTTTCTTTTCATATTTCAAAGCAATTTACTTGTCATGCCCTGTGGTGGCAGGCTTTTTTCCCCCCTTAAATCTGAATTGTGGCTTTGATGCTGTTTTTATCCTGCGAGAGTAGGCCTAGAGGACACTGAGCTCTCTTATAATCCTTTCTCTGCCCCTGCAGTCTTTCAGTGCAGTACCTAAATCCACACGAACACTGAGCGAATGTGTGGCAGACAAATGGTCCTCTCAGTAGTCCTGTTCCACTGGTTTTTAAGTAGTAAGGTCAGGATGTCCAATCCTGGAAGTAACAACTATGGCAACCTCCATAGCAACCAGGAAACACTGGCAGCAAGAGGCCTCCTGTGTCCAACGGGCAAAAGGGCAAGATTTCTGCACTCAGACTAAATCCAAACTGACCAGATGCACTGTTACCAATAGCTGGTAAGTTTGAAACTCTGCTGTGTCAAACTATTTGGAGTTATCCAGAAATAAAATCTCAGAATATAGTGTAGTTGCCTTTGTCAGTGACCTGTTTTGTACAGAAATAGGAGTCCCTGCCCTCAGCAGTAACAGTGCTGAATGGTAGAAATGATAGTTGCATTTCTTTGCAAAGTATTACTGATTCTGCCCTGTTTTGGTTTTATAAGGAGGGGGTCTGTATAGTTACGAAACAATTGGATATATTGTGTTGATTTGCTGACTTAAAGACGCATTCTGCAGCAGTTAACCCACTCTTCTTGCTGGGTTTGCTCTGCTAGTTTTCTGAAATTATGTATATCTGGGAGTCTCCACAAAAAAGACTTCCAGATGATATTTCTTAGATAAGAGACAAAATATCTAAACTGGAGTTTATCAAAATATCTAAACAGGAGTGCTTAAACTGCATTTTGTAAAATAAAGCACTTAAATTTTATGTTGTTGAATTTCCATGCAAATTTTACCCTAAGCATGCTAAATGTTTCTAAGCAATGTTAAAAAAAAAAAAAAAGGGAAATGAATGGAAGCTTGTCTACTACATCTTTTTAAATTACCAGAGATAGCATCACATCATTGATCTTACTGTGACAGCCTCTGAATAGTTATCACTTGTCACATCTGAGCATCTCATTCTTTCTCATTGCAAGCCATAATCCTGCTGTTATAAAACATGACAGGACAGCTGAAAGATCAAAATATTTCCTCTTAATACATCACTATAAATAAACAACAGGCAATGGTAATCGTTCAAAAACTGTCACGTTTACTCAGCTTGTCAACTTCAGCTGTAATTTCTGTCTCAGCTTGTAAAACAGCGAAGGTTTGGCTGGCACTGTGTACAAGAAAGCTTTAAAGGAGAGTATAGGTATAAGAAAAGAGAGCTGGATTTTACAGAGGAAAACAAACGTTGGAGGGAGGTGAAAATTATTCTTTTTCTGGAGATTTTCATAACATTTGTCATTTCCCTGGGTGTTTCTGTCCCTCTTTCAGGTCGGGATTTGGGTGACTGAAGATCACTGAAGGCAGTGATATGGGTTCATCTGGCCAAATGCCAGTCTGAATATTCTGAATTCGGTGTTTTTAAATAAAAATAAACAACTAATCAAAAGTACTGAGTTCTTGAGGTACTCTGGAAAGCATTTCTTTGTGTTAGAAATGCCAGTACTTTGTCTCTTTTCTACCAACAGATCACGACTGAGTCCTGCAGGTATCTGCTTTTGCAAGAATGGCTCATTTGGAAGGGTTCCTGCCTACGAGTCACAGGTATTGCAGTGTGAGGCCAGCTCTGGACAAGTTCTCGTGTTCCAGCATTGTACCTGCCATTAACCCCAGCTGCAGGAGCTCTTTTGTAGTGTATCCTGCCTGGATCGCTGAGCCCCTCACTCCCCAGAGGTAAGATCAATTCCTGTTTGAGTCTGTGATTTGTTTTTTTCCATGATATCTAATAGGATAAACCAGGCTGGTGTGTCAGATTAATAAATTAGCAGTTTGAACATCATTTGGGCTTTTCCACCCCTGCACTGGCAGTTTTTTAGATGGTGTTAACTGAAGTAATTTGCTACCTTGGAGATTATGAAAAGCAAAGCCTGAGTAAGCCTCCTATCAAAGAAACATTCCTATAATATTATTTGGATAAATAAAAGCATCTTGCATTAGCAGCTGTCTTCTGTGAAATGTTTCTAATGCTTTGTGACAGAAGATTATTTTTCAAGTTTTGAACTTGAACCTGTCATCAACCAGCAGCGTGGTTGTTTACTTCTCTGCTTTGCTGTTCCCCGAATGCTTCAGTGTAAACCATCAGCTACAGCATTCTCAAGCACGCCTACGCTGTGCTCTGTGCTGGGGAAGGGTTGCATTGTCTTGCCAGGTAAACAGCAAAGGGATAGTGCAGGTATTCCTGGCCCAGGATTCCAGCAGACTGCTTCCTCTAAACCTAAAACCAAAGAAATCTGGGTAAAAGCAGACACTGATATGTTTTTCCCAAGAACAAGTAACTGTCCCCGCACAGGCAAGTTTGCTTCCCACATTCTTTGGCCTGTGGGAGTGGTAGAAAATGAGATGGGGTGTTCCAGTTCTGAAATCTTAAAAGGTTTTGTTTTTTTTTTTTCATGACCTACAGAAGCTATTTCTCTCATTGCTGACCCATTTTCTTTTCTTCAAGGTGCCAATGGATTAGCCACTGCCTCCACTCCCCCCGCCTGGCATGGGAGAGACTGGGGAGATCCGTGTGCATAGACAGCAACGTGCCTGTGCTGGTGAGAAGGGAACAAGATGGATTTTATTACCATGGTACAGTAAAAGAGGAGGTAGAGGTGAGCAGTGGTACAGTAACATGGGTGTGAGTAACAGGGAGCAGTCCTCACACACCACCTGAGTTCAGTGTAGCAGTTTTGGTTTCAGCTGGTGCATGAATTAGAGAACAGATCACCAGGACAGCTGGAACTTGTGGTTATCATAAAGCTCCCAACATGCATGATTCCAGGCTGTTCCTTACCTCCTGTTGCCTCACAAGCCATGTGAACCTCTTGTGTACAGCATAGCCTGAGGCACCAATAAACTAATGATGGTCAGAACTGTGCTCTGCTCAGCCCCCTTTGCTGAGTCCATCCCTAGCAGTGAGCAGGTGTGTTTCAGGGATCCTCATCTTGTGCAGAAAATGGGTGCCCCACAGACTCCCAGTTCCTGCTGAAAGCAGTGTTGTTGTGCACCTTGGAAGAGCAGTCCTCTGCCTCTGCTGGTGCTGGGCACTGAGCCAGGCTCAGACAGCCTGAGTGCCGTTGCAAACGATGTAGGGGCTGCTGTTGTGTGTACACACATAACCATCAATAGCACAGGAAAAGGCTTAGTGTTTTGTGTACACACATCCACCTTGAGTCAGCTACAGACCAATGGCTTGGGGTCTTTCCAGAAATGTCAGTGAAAGCTTTAATTCATTGGTTTGTTAGCACTTCAAACTTAACACAAAAAAGAGCCTATTCTTTCTCAAGAACAGGGAAGTGCCTCACTTCATTGTTGATGGAAAGCCTCTTGACAGGCCTTAGTGTAAAAGAAAATAAAAATTCCCGACAAACCCCCCAAGAAGCAGAGTTAGTCTTGTATGTAATGAGGAAGACTTAGGCACAATTTAAGAACAGGTCTGAAAGGCTTCAGTGTCCCTTGTTACTTGGCACACATGGTGGTGTTTGTGAAATCCAGCTACACTTGTCTATAGCTTTTTCTCTTGGGAAAGAAAATACAGATCCTAGTGGCAGTGACTCTATACATATGCTTTGCTCATCCTTCTTTCTGGTGAGCCTCTTCGAGATTTTTCTGGCCATCTCAGTGCTGGACTAACACCACACACTATTTAGCTACTGTTCAGGCTTGGTTTGGCCTAGTCACATAGGCACAGGATGGCCTCCTACTGAGGGTTACATGACCTGACACATTATAGGGTGTTTTTCAGTGGAACTGCTATTTTGTTCTTGGTAACAGAGTGAAAGAGGCATGTTCCTGGTAGAGTTTGCCAAACCACTTGTGTCCCGTGGAAAGCATCCAGTGCGTGTGCAAAAAACAGCAAAGGATGACATTCTGGAGTATGTGAATGGGATGAAGCACTCCTTACTCCCTGGAGACAAAGTGCTGGCACCCTGGGAGCCAGATATGGCCAGGTATGGCCCAGGAACCGTCCTCACAGGCATTGAGACAAGGGACCCCTTAAGAGGTAAGAAAGATGTTGCCCTCTCCCTTCTTGTCTTGCTCTGGAACACGCGTGAGACTGTCGGGATAAACGCTTGTCACGATAAACTCTTGTCACTGTGCAACTGCCAGAGGAATAACAGTGCACAGAGTACAGTTTAGTGTTGCTTAGAGCTTACAGGAGCTGATGGGACTTGCTGATGGATATCTGTGTGTAATCTTATCGGTCTGACCCTAAGGAAGTTGTGACCCATAAAAATGTCATCTGTGTCCGTGGGTGTTGCTGGGACAGGGCTGTGTCTGCCATGTGCAGGACTGTGGCCTTTTCACAAGGAATACAAATGAGACAACTTTCAGGAAGCATTCATCTGATCTTAATGCTCACATTTGTAACAAATGGTACATCTGGGGGTGATTTTATCACCCAAACATAGGAGATTTCAACAGCTCATTAATTTTTCCCACATTTGACAGTCGAGCTCCACTGACTTACCAAAATACTTTTCTCAGAGCATTGCTGCTAACTTTGGCAGTAAAAACAAAGATTACTCAGTCAACAGTTTCTTGTTCATCTGATGACAGATTGGTAGGAAAGATGCTGCCAGTCCTGTGTTTTAATGATGGTGCCCTAGCTGCCCACTCTACCCCTCCAGCATTATGGTGAGAGGGATGATAGTTGATCCTGCTGCTTGACAGAAGTAGAAAGTGTACAAAGCTGCAAAGCCTGATCTGTGTATGTGCACTGCCCAGGCAGGCCAGCTGCTTATGGCTGCTTACTTTTTCTCTTAACAGCCTCAGAAGATGAAGAAATTACAGTCCAGTTCTGGAATGATAAGAAAGTGAAACTCCCACGTAATGTGGCTCTGTGGATCCCTCCTGGCCTGTGGGAGAGGATTGTAGAGATGATCCACATGCCCTTCACCAGCAGGCTGAAGTCCAGAGAAAATCCACATGCTGGATCTTGTATTTTTCCCTACAGTCCTAAACCAGCCCTCATTCCTGTTTGTGCTGGACACAGCCTTGCCAAGCACTGCTTGCTCTGCTCACCCTGCTGGCCACATTTCCACTACCACTGTGGTGGTGCTTTGTGCTGTTTGTCAGGATGTGTAAGGTGCATCTGCTGCTGTCACCCCCGTGCTGATGCCTGGTGGTCTCTTCCATCCAGGTCTCTGGTCTTTCAGAACAGATCTGAAGAGGCAGAGTCCAGCAGTGAGCCGTCTCCAGGCCTTCTAGAACTGGAAGGCACAAAACAAGAAGCAGCTGCAGCTGTGGCTACATCTTCCTCCTCTTCTGATTCAAAGTGGGACCTGAAGCTACTCCCCACTAGGAGTACTGTGGTGGACAGTGCTGTTAACACAGCCTGTGGCTGTCTTGAAAAGCCCAAACTAAAGGATTCTGCAAGACCTCAGTGGAAATACTGGAAAAGAAGCCACCACAGGTCACATTCCAGTAATTCAGGTACCTTTCAGCATCTCCACAGAGAAGCAGCAGTCAGAGGGAACAAAACCAAATGTGCTCTGGGCAGGGCAGTCACTCTGCCTGTAGGTTATTGGTTATTGGGATTAGTACTGTAAATTTGCATGTCAGTCTCTGATACAATACTTCTCCCTCCCCAATGTTTCTGCTGCTTCTTTTAGCAACTCATCTCATGGAAAAATACCACAACAGTTAATTTCATTAACCTGCATAGCTAGTCCATGCTGAATAACCTGGAAGAATTCCTTTCAGGCTTAAGTTGCATTTTCTCTCTTCTGAAACACATGATTCTCCATTTCAGTTCTGGTTTTACTCTTACACACAATTTTACTCCTTCCTAGGACTTGGCAGTTGCAGCAGCACATGTATGAAGGGCAAGCTGGAATCCAAAGCCATCTCCATTGGGGACACATCCCATGTGGGCCCAGCTAATCGGAGTGCAATGTTTGAAACCATTGAGCTCTCTCCCAGAGGGCAACTCACAGTGAAAGAAATCTTAAGAGACCAAGATTTCAAGCCATCACTGGAGGTAAGGTAATCTGTATTAATAGTGTAGTTATGTAAGCATGAGGTTTGTTTGAATGGAAAAGATATTCTTGTTAATGGTCTGGGAGCTGGTAAGAAAACTACATGGTTTCTAATTTAACTGCTTGCTAAGGCCATCCACCTGTTTTGTGATAGGTAGGAAACTTCTGCACTAACAGGAAACTAAAATCCCCAAACCCTAAGGAAGGGCTGAAGCTACTTGGTAAAATAGAACCGATTATGGCAGTAACTGTGTGAGCATTTAATAATGCAGAGTTCCGTTCAGAAACCTGCCAAATGCCCATTGACAGCAACTCAGTGAAGTCCTATGGAAGTAGAGACCTACATGAGTGGCCCTAGAAATGGACAGATGTGACTGTCAGCAGCAATAGAACACAAGGAAAGACTCAACCTGGAAAGGTGCTGAGCTCTGCCAGTCAAATTCTGATAGTCACAATCTTTGTCTCTGAAAGATAAAAGCAGATTCTTTAGTAAACAGTTTTTGCCAAGTTTCTTTTACTCCCTTGCAAGAAGCAAGCAGTTTAAACAGCAGATCCCTACCCTAAAGCTGGGGATACAGAGTAAGCAAACTGTGTCACAGCTAGGAACAAGGACAACACCCTGGTTTTCAGGCCTGGCTTCTGTTGGCCATGATCCCTCCTGCTTTAGAAAAACTTGGGAAAAAAATCAGAACATGAATGCTAAAAAAAGCAAGCACAGAAAAGAGAAAGAAAAAAGCTTACAGGAAGAAGTGGAAGATGAAAGAGAATGTCAGCACAAGAGCATCTGGGGTACAATTAATAAATTATATATCAGAAATCAAATATTAGCTCCTCTGTACCTTCATGCTCTTGCTACTGTAAGCTGACTCCAAAAAAACTTTGAACATTCTAACCTTGTACATTTAGGAGAAGATGAATCTGTTCATGACATGTCTTACTGAACAGAAAATATACTGGAAGACATATTCTCACAATTATATGCATTCATTTTAAGCAGATGCTCACCAACTTATTAACTGTGTGGTTCCTACTTTCTATTTCTATTCTACTTTATTATTAAAATAATCATAATTACACGCCTTTTTAATTGATTTCCTAGGAATTTAGAAGCTAATGTGGAGCTTCAGGCAAACATGCTGTATGTTAGTAAGTGTCACAGCTGTGCACTGAAGTGACGTGATTTGCCTTTTGGTAAAACTAATAAGAAAGCAGAATTGTTTAATTCTAGCCCCAAACCAGCAGCATGAACCACAGCAGTGGGCACAATGTGGTAATACAGAGTATAATGACATCCTTTTATTCCTGTAAAATAGCCCTAGGTGATTTTAAACCTAGAAGATACATTGGCACTCTTTGAGATAGCTGAGGCAGTTTTATCATGTGTTACAGACTGCATCAGAAGTGACTTGCAACAAACAAGTGAAGCTAGACCATAGGCTTCCCAGAGGTGCTCTCTGGGGGGCTGATGTCCTCTCTCTGCAGTCAACAACAATCCTCCTAACTTCTAAAGCAGCAAAATTTTTCATCAAAGCCTAACATCTTCTGAAAATCCTTTGGTCTTAACTGTCCAGTTCTCTGTTTCAGCAGTAAAGTTTGTACTAGCACAGAAAATATACCATTGTTAAGGCTACGTGAGGCAGAGGTACAGCCAGGAAAGCAGCGGTTAACAAAGACACTGATGCTTTTTTTAGCCCTGATTTCCAAGGGATTTGTTTTCTGTCCTCCAGGAAGAAGGTTTTGCAGCATCAGAAAAACAAAGAAACAAAAGAGCGTCAGATGATAAATGTAAAGCGACTTGCGTGGGCGACGACAAACTTGATGTTATAGAGCATGTCAGAGCTCCCTTGCAACAAAGCAGAGAGAGACACAATCAACCAGAATTCAGCACATGAAGTTCAGGGGCTGAAATTTCAGGTAAAATACTCTATCGGTGTTATACTTATTAAGCAAATCAAGTTCTGGTTTAGGTACTGTCTCAGTGGAATACCTTTATGGGTGACTATATAGTTTTAATACTGAGAAAGTATATTTCTACCCACATCAAACTTCAGCATCCTCACTCTTTACTCCAAGGTGTGATATTAAATTCCTAACTACCTGAACTTGACTTTACAGTTCTGGAGAGATCAGATGAACTAGTATGAGCACTAAAAGCCTGAACAGATGCACAGCAAGAGTCCAATAAACCTCCAATTTGCCTACAGTTCCCTAGAGTGAGCCAGAGGAATTCAGGAAAGCAATTTTTGTTAGTAGAAAGCCAGAAGGAATGCAGAAACAATACAAGTTGACAGCTGAAAGTATTTTTTTCAGGATTAAAGCGGAAGACAAAGTAGCCAGAGGGTAAAAGACCTGCTACTGTAGAAACAAATAACAAAATGCTTAGAGATCCAGCATTCAAGTCACTGAATTTTATGTTCAAATGAAAATTACTGAAACCTTAATACATCAGCTACAAAAAGATGACAGATCTATATAGGTCACATCACTAATTCTAAACATGGAACCTGATCCTTTGGGAAAGTAAAGCATCCAGGGAATTTTGTTAGCAGGATTGCTCATGTTTAAAGCACATGAACTTGTCCATAAGCTGCAGTCTGCAGGTACTCAGCAGTACTTTTCCCCTGCAGGAAATAGGATAATTCAGGGTACCCCACTGCCCTCAGAAAAGGCAGCTAACTGGGGTTGAGCCTGCTCTGCAAAGGGACAGGACTTGAGGGGTCAATAATTTACGTGCCTATACTGAACATCTGACATATATTCAAGCACCTTTCTGAGCTGGGGTCCTAGGTAGTGAATTATGTTTACATTTTATTTCTTTATTAGAATTGTAAAAGTATAGATAAGAGAATGGATTATGATCCAGCTGCTCTAAAATCAGTGCCATCCTACAGAAGCTAATGCACATCCATATTCATACCACACGGATCATGCTCTCTGTGGTCCACAATGCGACATGGAGGTTCTGTCTGAGCATACTATAAAAGAAGCAGTCCTCACAAAGGCTCGATCATGTATTTTATTCCACTGATTGTATCTTTAGTTGTTTAAAGCAGAAGAATCTGGAATTACAGTCACATAATTGGATTTAAAAGGCACACAGTGTACAAATATTTATAAAATCAGTGTACAAAGTGGGTTGCATATAATTGCATTAAGTAGAAAACAAATATACAGACCATAAAAATGGAGTCTCCAAAGAGGAAGCTACTATTAAAGTGCTAACAAGAAAAGGATATTTATAGTTCATTACATGCAGTAAAAAGAGCCTTGTATTTTATTCCCGTGATGTCAAGAAACAACAAACATCACAGAACAAAAGTTAAATCAACACTTTGTCCTGCATTGACACCTACTACGAGGGTTTTTTTCACCATGTCATCTGAGATTGCTGTGACAGAATAGATGCCGGGAGAAACTTCGATGTACAAGTCTTTGGAAGCTTGTCTGGTCTTTAAGAGGAAAAAAAAAAAAGCTTCATTACTGGTTAGCCATCCTAGATTTCCCACAAAAATAAAAATTTTGAATTTGGTTAAAAAAATTACATTTCAGCTGCTATATAAATGTACTAAGGTTTTTCAAAATCAGCGTGGACAAAACTGTGAAATGTTCCTGTGGAAGTGATCACTATGCTGTAATCTGTGTCTCACAAAACTGAAAGTTAGCAACCTAGACAGTTTTGAACATAAACCTGGAAAACATTCCCTATCATAAGAGTGTTCCCACTAATTTGTACTGTGTGTTTCTTGTCTATTGTGTCTTAGCAGTTTTTGAAATTGATTTGGTGAAGTGTTAGGCTTTTAGAAATAAAACCAGATTTCTTCTCCTTGAGGAACAGGAGTCTTCAGAGAGCCTGTAGGAGGGCCAAGAGTAAATGGCTAAGCAACTGCTGTGTGCCTTGCTGCACACTTTTCCTCAGGAGCACGAGTGAGGTGAGACTGGAGAAGTGCTGCCTTATTGCTGCTGATGTAATTCACAAAAGCCTAGAGCTTTATTGGTGTTTCACGTTCTGTACCAGTCTAACTGGTACAGACTCTTAAGTGGTTATGTGCCAGAATGCCACAATCTGGCTTCTGATTAACAGTGCAACTCTCTGTGTGCCCATTTTCCTGTCTATACATACCCCCCCAGGACTGGGAACGCACCACTTGTTAATCTTCTGTGTCATCCAAGTCTCCACATCTGTCACAATTTTTAACCAGCTTGATGCAAAATGATGATAAAAAAATGCTATCAAATACCTCCATTTAAAAACAAAGTATTCTATAAACTTACACGTTGCTGGCAAGTTTGAGCTCGACTGGGTGCTCTGGAAGCTTCAGGCCTCTGGAAAGAAAAAGATACTGTTTTCTAATGATATAACACATCCAGCCCAAGTGAGGTGATGTGTCATGTGCAGGAAATTTTCCCCTCCATGAAAGGACTGATATGACACTGGTTGGTGCCACCAGAAGCTACTCTGTCTTCCCACCACCCAACAGAAGGCTTAGATCAGTCCAGGTGTTCCTAAGTCCATACTGTCAACCTACATATATTAGTGTCTCACAGATGGATGGATAACAATTATCCTGCTGCAAGGGAAGGAATAACCTTAAATCAAAACCAAAAGTACCTACCTCTTCTTCCTCCTCTCTTTCCTCTGCCTGCTTGCCATGGTATTTGCAGATGTGTTTAATTTCATGCTCTTTGCACCTCGGGGCTCCCACGAAGCTATAGTACTTCTGGACAACAATAGAAACACAGAATATTATGTGGGGAGGCATCAAAGGCCATACTCACAGCTACTGCAGATTTACAACTGAAAGTGGAACTGCACAGCTACTGACTTCCTGTATTAATTGGCTGGTTTGTTCTCTTGTGAGGATGAAAACAATGCCTGGATGTCCACAAGACACCTGCCTTACGGTACAAGACTGTCAGCCCTGATTTTAGAAGCCTGTCTCCTGACACAGTATGTAGGGAGGGACTCTGGCACCTCAGAACTGAACTTGTGAAAATGTCAGAAGGAATATTCTGGAAATACCTTCCTGATCAGGCTCTTCAAGAAAAGCTCGGGTGGAAGAAGGCACAGTTTATGGGTCCTTAATAGGACATATATGCCAGCGAGGTGCTTTGCAACCTAGCCAGTGAAGATTCATTCTGCAGGGCACATGCAGGAGCAGCACTCTAAAAGCAGAACATGTTAATACTGAAAACTGAGTCAGTAAAGAACCTAAAGTGTTTTCAAGGCTGGTACCAGTAGCACAGCAGTTTTGAGAACTGTGTTTAAGTCTACAGCAGCCCTCTTCTGGTTCAGCTGCAGAGGTACTGGAACCTTCCTCACTGCAAATTTAATATTAGAGTACAGCTCTGCTGCCATCTGTTGTCACAAGAGAACTCCTCCCAGGGTTACCTTTTTGATCACAGGGACCAAAAAGTTCCAAAATATCTATTTTATTTCACTTATGTTGTCCTCAACCCTCACTGTCTGGACTAAAGATAACAAAAATAAGGCTATAGCAATTCTTATTTCCAGATCTACTGCTATGCTTTATTCCTCGAGCTTATGCACAAATCAAGAGATCTGGTTGCTTGTATTGTGGTTTCTGTGGAGCTATGTCCCAAAATGCATCAAATGCTCTGACCTATTGCATAATGCTTTGCAGCACATCTCTGTATCACAGGAGGTGAGCTGGATTCTTTAATGTGATGGCACAGAGCAAAGAAATAAAATCAAACTTTTGGTGAGTAATGAGGGTAAACTTTGGTCCCTTAGTAACTCCAAACAACTCAGCTTAAATCCCAGTTCTAATTGTTTGCATTGAAGTGGCTAAATGGTTGTGTTCAGCTGGAGATTTTTATTTGCGCTTTTTAAACTTTATCCATGAACAGGTCTGACAATTCCCCCTTTTTATGACTCCTCTAAAAAATGACTGAAGCAGTACTGTCTTGGCTGATGCATAAGTGTGGAAATCATTTACTGCTTTTCCAACTCTAATACTGTTAGCAGGCCATAAGGTAGACCCATAGATTAATATAGGTTGGAAAACACCCTTAAGATCATACAGTCCAACCATAAACTTAGCACTGCCAATTCCACCACTAAGGATGAATCTCTATACACTTGTATTTTTGTTTCATCTTGTGTAAAACTCTATTCTGCCTGAGTTGTTTTCAGGATTAACTGGTTACTGTGTGTAGTGCTTTCAAATGATAGAAGAGTTGCTTAAGATCTAATCATTTGGGGTGATGAAGTACTGTTTTCTCTAATGTAATTGCAGACTTAGCCTGTGTTATTAACTCTGCAGACAACGAGCTCCCTGCTGTGTTGTAACAGCTCCCGAGGGGCACAGCCGCTGTGAACTGCGGTGGAATTCACAGAGACTTCAGTGCAGCAGCTGGGCTGCAGGGCTGCCTTCACAAGGATGAGCTGGCAGAGGTTGGCTCCTGGTCCATCCACTCCATAAGGCAATGACACCTGACAGCCAAAGCCAGCATGAAAGCAGTGGAGCTGTGCATCTGTAAGCCATACCCCTCCATTTCTACTTATCACAAAGGTACGGTGCTGCTCAGAACTGAGCCCACAGTCCTCATCCAGTGGCAACATCCCAGATCAACTTCGACCCGGTTTCATCTGGGAATGGAGTTGGTTTTCTTCCTAGTAGCTGGTACAGTAGCTGTGTTTTGGGTTTGGTACAAGTATAATGTTAATAACAAACGGATGTTTTGGTTGTTGAATGGTGCTTACCCTAAATCAAGGACTTTTCAGTATCTCATGCTCTGCCAGCAGGGAGGTGCACAAAAAGATGGGAGGGAGCCTAGCCAGGACAGCTGACCCAAACTTGCCAGAAGGATATTCCATACCATGGACTGTCCTGCTCAGTATAAACTGGGAGAGTTGGCTGGGGGGGCCGACTGCTG